CAAAGCTGTTCGCATATGTCCGATTACATTTTGGAAGATTTAAACGAAAATGGACAAATTTGATGCATATTTGAATGCACACATAATATTCATTCATACATGGACAACTTTTACATAAAACCAGATACTTTTCATCCAAAGGGAGCAAATTTATTAGATTTATACATATTTCAACTATGCCGAACTCTAAACCTAGCCTAAAATGATGGCCGTGGCCCGTTACCCATCCCGGGCCACCCATGAGCCTCGGAAAATGAATCACTGCCTCCTCCGCAGCCATAAGCGCGGGGAAGTGAAGCTATCCGCCTCCACGTTGCTGGCCAAGGCTAATCGGTCACCAATGTGGAGCCCACCAAGCTTGGCCTTCATGGGATATTGGGATACAAGCACCGTTGACCTCCCATGCGCTACTCTTCATCGCTGCCGACGGTGATCACGGACATGCCGGCTTCGTGGTGGTGGCGACAGGGCGCGGCCCAGCTGGCGACCTCGTCTTCTTCCTCGCTCCTACCAAACACCTCATTCGCCGCCTCGTTGAACTCCGTGTAGGCGGCTTCTAACTCCGCCAACAGTCATGGTGGATGTCACGGGCGGAGTGATAGGACTCGAGAAGCGCCTCCTGCTCGGGCACATCCACGTCCAACATTATGATGTGCCGGCAGCGAGCAGCTCCTCCGCACGCCGGTGTTTGTCGACAAGGCGGAGGTTGTAGGCCTGGCCGGCCTGCCCCTGTCGGGATGCGCCCTCCCGCTTCTCTAGCACCATGTCCATGTAGTGAGCACAAGCCTCGCCCATGGTAATGCCAACATTGGTCAGCGCGAACAGTGGCACCATCTCGGCCAACTTTGCCATACGCGCATCCGCGTCTGGCGCCCTTGTTTGGACAAGAGGCCTTCCCACAAAGCTTTGAAGCTCGAGGAGGCCATGGCGGGTGTGGTGAGGAGAGGAGCTAGAGAGCGGAGGAGGGTGGATTGATGCGGTTGTGCTGCCGCCTGGGGGTA